CTTCTACTGCTCCTGCTCCTGCTGCTCCTGCTACTACTTCTACGACGACTGCTTCTAATACCACCACTACCGCAACTATGGTCTGCAGCAGGTGACGAGCGTCCATGCCAGGGTCATAGCTCGTCTTTTCCTCCTAGACATGCTACCCTGAATAGGAATTGTCAAAAAAGCCATCTATAAGCCCTAATATGTCCTACAAGCCCTAAACCCGGAGCCCCCAAAATGCTCCGAAGCTGACTCCAGGCTTGCTGGCATCCCGAGCCTGGCGACGAACCTGGCCCCGCCTTTCGGCCTGAAACACGAAGCAGCCCCCCTTAGAGCCATGAAGTTGCGGGTGAGAGGGTGCAGCACTTGTACCCCCGGAACCCTAGCGGGAGCCTCTCAAGGGACCATACACTGACTTGAGGTTGCAGCCCCCCCAAACCTGCACATCGGGTCTTGTGGGCCACACTTGGTCTTCATCTCATACCACACGCTTCGAAAAGGCGGAGAGACCCTCAAACAACGGCAGACTCCTGTGCTTCATCTGAAGACTTGGACCCCGGAACCCTCCGAACCTGAGGTTTCCGGTCATCAAGTTTCTGCTGCCAGCGCTTGGGGGCCTGTCGCCCGGAGAAGACCTCCTGCCAGACACAGGACCTGGGGACAGGAGCTGGCTGCTGGCGGCTAGCGTTTACTGTGGGGTCTCAAGGTGTGCGGGCTTGTGGTTTGGAGATTAGGGGGTTTGGGTTTGGGGCCTTGGGTTGTCGGCTTTGGTGTGCTTCCTCGCGTTGACTTTGACAGTCACTTGCGAGAGTGCTACTGATTCTTATTAGATCTACAGGCCAGAGTTGCACGTCCGAGTTTTCGTGTCGAAAGCAGTTGTACTAGGTCCACCATTGTTGCGCATTCTGCCCCAACATGACGGAACACACTTGTCACTTGCGTCAAAGCTGGATTCGGTGCCAAGGCGTGGGCTTTAACATCGTTCCTGCATCCTTTCCTGCCACTCCAAAACCCCCTTGGTTTTAGGCATGTACGTTTGTCCTTAATTGAAGGGTTTTAGACTTTTAGAGTCTCTGGCTGCCCGCTGACACACCCCGGTGGCCCTAAGCTTACAGGCGCCGTTCCTCATGGATGCGAAATCGTAAGCAGCAGGCTTAGGATTTTGGTGCTTCCTTCATGAAGCCACCGTGAAACCTCACCAACAGCCCTTGAGCCTGAACCCCTAAGCATCAAAACCCTGAAGCATTACACACCCCAGCTTCCAACCGAAAACCTCTGAAACCCTAAAGGCGGATAGCAACCTTGGAACCAACCCGACCAACCCTATACCTTCCTGAGCCCTTGAGATCCGCTGGTCGAAGGACAGCCTCTTAACTACGCCGCTACCAGCTGCGCCCTTCGCTCGGGAGCGTGCTGCCCAACGTTTAGGGGCAGATCTAGGTATTAGATGTGGGTGAAAATCGGCTCTGGGGTTTAGGATTAGGGGGTTGGGGGTTTTGGGGGGTTTGGGG